ACCCCCCCCCCCCCCCGCCAAATATTGGGATTATATTGGGTTTGTTGTTGCCTCTTTCTCGTGGAACTCTGTTTTTGGTGATTATTCAAACTTTACTAGATTTTTTTTTAAAAATTAAAATTTTCATTTATTAGACTGCAGGGGCTGTTGGAGGTGCTGCTTCTTCAATTGTCCGCGTGCCAACAGAGGTTGTTGAAAGCTCGCAACTTCAGTCTTATCATCTTGCATTGCTTCTTTAGCTTACGCTACAAAAAAAATTCACAGGTAGTCAAACAACGGATGCAAACTAGGCAATTTGCTTCTGCCCCTGATGCAGTACGTCTTATCGTATCCAAGGAAGGTTTTAAAGGCCTTTATGCAGTAAGTAGTGATGTCTATAGTTGCCATTATGTCTTACCCTCTATTTTAGTAACTTCCCCATGGAAATAAAACTCTTAAGTTGCTGACTTGCTATACTTAGCATCCCATCCTAATAATGTTCAATAGTTCTTTATTAGCTTATGCCATACGTTGATTGTATATCTTCTGTTTCCTCTTCTCTCATTTTCTTTTTCTTCCTGTTTTTGTTTTTCATTTGCAGGGATACGGGTCTTTTCTACTGCGAGACTTGCCTTTTGATGCTATACAGTTCTGCATATATGAGCAGATGCGGTTGGGTTACAAGTTAGCTGTAAGCTTTTAGCCTCTCATCAGAAGAAGGGTGCTTGATATAAATTCCTCACTTGGGAAACTGTTTCTTTGATTGATTAGTCCCTATGAAGTGAGCTTTTGAGATTTTCCTGTTGCAGGCAAAAAGGGATCTGAATGATGGTGAGAATGCAATGCTTGGTGCTTTTGCAGGTATTCCATACCTTTGAGTAATTGGAAGGATCATCATTCAATGTTTTAAGATGGAAAAATATTACCTAATTAATACTCCCTCTGTCCGAAATTATTTGTCTACATTGCATATTCAATGAAGAAATAATAATGATTTGTCGAAATATTATAAAATAGAGAGAGTGTTTCTAAGAGACCCTAGCTCAAACACAGAATTGAGACAAAGTAAATACAGTAACATATATCAAAATAAAAAAAGTATGAACGACTCTGAGACGCTGTAATTTGCAGGCGCTGTAACTGGAGCCATAACAACACCTCTTGATGTGATAAAAACCAGACTGATGGTTCAGGTAGAGTGTTCGAAATCTTCTGAATTTGTTTTATTAATTTCACAATCTTTTTCTTCCTATAAACTTTGTTTTGGCCTGGCCTTGTCAGGGATCAGCAAAACAGTACCGGGGTGTTCTTCACTGTATTGGAACTATTGCCAGAGAAGAAGGAACTTCAGCTCTTTTTAAGGTATAATCACTTTGTCCTGCCAAATGATTAAAAGATAGAAATAAATGAAACTGTGTGTTGATTAGTAGCAGCAATAACGAATAACAAAGGCATGATTCACACTTTTGTGTTTGCTGCAGGGAATGGGGCCAAGAGTGCTTTGGATAGGCATTGGAGGTTCCATATTTTTTGGAGTGCTTGAGAAGACAAAACAACTTCTTTCCCAGAAAAAACCAGTTGACTTGAAACATGAATGAAGTGGTCATCTGATCCACCATATTACAATAATAATACTTCATTTGAGGTTTCATTTAAATTTTCACTTGTTTATTGCTGGATACAGTTGGGCAATTTCTTGAAATTGTTTATTGAAGAATCATGGTTGTCCCCCCGGAACCTCTTGCTACCTAACCCCACCCTAAACCCCCCATGCCCCCATTCTGTGGATCGCCGAGTGGCAACTGTATTTCCTACTGCCAATCGACGATTCGGGGGAAGGTGGTAGGGGGCTTGGGTGGAGTGTTAGAAGGCAGAAGTCATCAATTTTATGAATGAAGCATCTTAGGTGTCCCAAATAGGTGGTGTCACCGTAAGCAAGTATTAGCGAGATATATATAGGATTTTTCATTTTTTCGATATACTTTGATGATAATTGAGTACGGAGTATAATGTTTTGACAAACGCAAATGTTGTATGCAATTGATTACTCCTTCTATCCTCCATAGGTCTTAACATTTCGCATTACAAGACTTGATTGACTTTATTTTTAGTTTAATTTATTTGATTGTGGTAGTAAAAAGCTACATAAATTCTATTCTCTGCTTTATGTGTCTTATGTGCGCTTGTGTAATCTGAGTTATTCAAGTAACTCAGATGGGGTTATTTTAAATTCATTCAATTGTGACTTAAGGTTATTTCGTATTAACCTACATTTTTTATTATTCTTATATAAATTATTATTATTATTATTATTATTTATTATTATTATTATTATTATTATTATTATTATTATTATAGATGTGTGAAATAAGCATCTTGTAACTTGCAAATACACATCTCACGAATATACAGTAATGCCGTATATATTTGAATTTATAATATATTTTCTCTGTCACAAATTAAGTTACATGTTTATTAATTATATAATAAAACTTTATTCATTTTTTTAATTCTTGTTAGTCATTTGATAAAACAATTAATCATGACACCTACTATATACTTTGCAAAATTTTTATATAATTATTTTTGAATATATCCCAATTCCCAAATAAATTATCTTCAAAAATAATTTCAGTCAAACATTGTAAATTAAAACAATCGATTTAAATTGAGAGAGTAAAAAATCATAAGCCATAAACAAGAATTCGTTTTTATCCAAATTGAATTTTTATACTTTTTATTGGACGATTTTTTTTATTAATGTATGTGGTTTCATTATTTGTGATACCTTAAAAGAAATTGCCTAAAGGAAGCAAAATATAACACCTATCTCTAATTAAGAAGTCGCATGCATGTTTTTATCTCAGAAATATGAGTAGTACACTATAACAATGTGAACTTGTATACTTCTTCCGTCCTTTAAAGTTCTCCCATTTTGACTTACGGAGAAAATAAGGGATATTTTTGTTTTGATTTTGTGAAAATATCTTTGATGTGATGGCTAAAGTTGCATGTAATGGGTAGATTATTAATAAAAAAGTATGATGTGATAGGTAGGGTAAGAATTTCTAGGGGTAAAAATGATTTTTTATTAGAAATGATAATAACTTTGTGGGACAAAGAAAAAAAGAAAGAGAACAGGTTTGTGGGACGGATGGAATATTAAAATTGCATAGTTTTTAGTATTATATGTCGTCATTATTTTCGTCATAAGTTATATTTTAGAGAATAACATTATGAAAGTTTTATTTTAGTATCTTTCTAATTTTACTTCTATGTTAATATTCCATAAAATAGGCTATCAACCCGACGATCCGAAAGAGAATAGGGCAAGTGTGTTGGTTAGAATAGTCAATTTTATCAACATAGTACCGTACATGCTCTAATTTTGATTATTTTCATAATATAACAATAATGCTTGAGTATTTATTGTAAGAATAACAAAAGTGGAATGAAACAAGTGGGTGAAAATACTATTTTTCAATGTGTGGTGAAACTATGGAATAAGAGAATATTAGTGATAAACCTGAATGGATTATGTGAGCGTTGGCAGACAAAATAAGGTTCACCTTTTGTCCTTTGATGACCTAAATCCCAATTTCCTCGTAATCAGTATTGTTTGACATATCCCTCCCTCTCCATTGTGAAAATTTCCCACATTTTTCATCCTTTTAAAATACTCCGTAATTTTTTTTAAAACTAATTATGCATTTTATATTTCACCCATCCCACAAAATGTCGGTGATTTTAGTGTCATCAATTTATTTTGTGTAATTGGATTTACTTTGATCGGACAAGAATTTAAATAGACGTTGTCAAACGAGTTAGGAGACGCGGAGTGCGCGCTCGTTCAACGATATTATAAATTCACTGCGGGGTCCAGGGGCGGCAGCCCCCGGGTGGCGGGGTCCAAGGGGCGGCAGCCCCTGGCGGGGTATACGAAATTTTTTATTTCGAACGTTGTTTCTTTAAGAAAATCCTTAAGATTTTCGTGACCGGAGTCCTAAACGGTAAAGGACTCGTACATAATGGATAAACGTCGAAATTAAGCCTTCAACCGCAGGAGACCTTTCGTTCAAACTCGCACCTTTCTTCTTCTTGCGCGAACATACGCGTACATCTACGCGAATGTTCATGTCCGATCACAAGGATTTTCGACTCTATAAAATAGAGTCTCGTGGTATGGGTTGAGACATAGATTCTCGAGTGCTTGTTCTGAATTAACGTCTTATCCGATTGAAGTATTTCGTATACCCCGAAATAACTTTGATCTGAAAGCGTTTCGTACGCGATTCGTTATTCTATCGAGTTCTTCGTTTAACACTGCTTCGCAGTGTTCTTCATTTTATAAATCCAACACAAAACTTTTCCGATTTTAACTTTTAAATGATTTAAAGAAAGTGTATTTTGGTGTACACTTTTCAAAATTATCCTTGGATGTGATGGGTAAAAGTAGATGTGATGGTAGATTGATAGCAAAAAAGTGTGATATGATAAGTAGGTTAAGAATTAGTAAGGTAAAAATAACTTTTTAATACGTAGAAATTAATAAAATTTTCTAGGACAAATGAAAAAAGAAAGGAAATAAATTTTGTAAGACGAAAGGAGTATCATTTTTCTTGCCATCGATTTTGAAGTACTTTGAAATTTTACTTTTCCCAATAATTATATTTGATCAAAAGTAAAATCTTAATTTTGAAAAATTGGTATCAATATGTTCTATATGTTTTCAAAACTTATTTTTAAAATTCTCTTATTTTTGAAATGTTGTACCCACACACCTCAAATCATTTTCTGAGGAAGATGGAACATTGGTGGCTATTTTCAAACCACATATGCAACAATGGTCAGATTCTCATTTTTCACTTTTTTTTTGGTTTTTTTCCATTTTAACTCTTTTTTCCCTCTCTTTGTTTTCTTTTCTAAGATTTTTTTAATTTCTGATTTTCTAAACTTTAAAAATCTTTTACAAAGTTCAAATTTGTTAGTGTTTGAAATAAAAAATAAAAAATGATAAAAAAAATTACTCTAACATATATTTCATCTATCTCAAATTAAATATTTTCAAATTTTTTTCTAGATTTGATTTTTTGGGAAGTTCAAAAACGAAAATATGGAATAAAAAGATATGGAAATATGAAATGAAAAAATTTGAAACATACAAAAATTGTTATACAAAAAGGAATTTTCAAAACATCTAAAAAAGCTCTTAGGATTGGAATGTCCAAATAACAGAATAATTATTTTAATTTTTCTTTTATTGTATTCCTTATTTTATTCCTCATTTTTTGAAGTTTCCAAAAAATATTTTTCTTTTTATTTCAAAAAAAAAAAATAAAAAAAAAATTAAAATTTTAATTTGAGAAGTACAGATGCAACATATATAAGGGGGTGTGAGGCATGGGTTCGAGTCGGGCGGGATGAGAGGGTTTATAAGGGAATTTAAGGAGTATTAACCGTCAATTTTACGAATGGATACCATTGGGCCCCTGGTCATCACATTACATTAATTACGAGGAAATTGGATCCCATGACTAGTCAGAGTGGATCGGTCACTTGAAAAGACCGGTACTGTTTAGGACGGGATTGGTCTGGTCTTTTTTATAAATTGGTCGAGAGTAGTCTACTCTTCATGAAAAATAGAGATCTTTTTGGACCGGGAAGTCCCGTTAAGACCGGTCCAAGTCCGGTCCGGTCCTTAATATGTAAAATTCTTAAATTTGTGTTCTTAAAAAATATAAAAAAATACTCCCTATGTCCCATAAAGATAGGGACATTTGGAGTAAAGTGGTAAAATAAGGGAGAGATAATTTTGTGTGGATTTTCCAAAAATATCCTTGATGTTATGGGTAAAAGTAGGATGTATTGTATAAATTATTAGGAAAAGGTATGATGTGATAGGTAGGGTATGAAAAAGTAAGGAGTAAAAATTGTTTTTTATTAAAATGCGAAGGACTTTTAGGAACACGTTTTTTTGAAACGTGAAGGAGTTTTAGGGACGGAGGGAGTATCATTTTTTGTTATTTAATTTCCTTTCTCTATACTTTAATTTATTGATTTATAATAATTATACAACATGAATATTATAATGTGAGATGAAAGTTGGATATAATTAACGAAAAAAATAAATTTAATATGTACTCCGTATGTTTTATAGATATGAGATTTTTTTTGTCATCACTTATTTGTAAATTCCTTAATAAAACTATGCAATGTATTATTCTCTATATTGATAGGATAAACTAAAAATTAAATTTTAAAGTACCAATATACATGTATAAAAATTATATTTCAAATACATTACTCCTAGTCCGGTCCAGTTCTAGTCTGGTCCTGATCTAGTCTTTTGAAAAAGACCGCTCAATCCGGGATCGTTCTAGTCTTTCATAAAAAATCAATGATCAAATGAGATTATCGATCCAAGACTACATCGGCCTCATCTTTTCTTGTCCCAATCCCAATCTATTTCAATCAATTTTTTCGATTCTAGTTTTATCTTCATCACTATGTCATGGAAATCGCCCAAAACAAAAACTTAAGACTAGCGGAGTATTCAAAGAGGGTACCATGAAATCCTAATTCCGAGGATATTGTGTTGTTAGCTATTTTACTAGACCACAATTAGCTGTCACTTGTTAAAATTCCATTTTAGCCCCTCATGTTTTTCTTCATTCCCTCGATATATTCTATACTCTTTCAAAAATGGTCGCCAAGTTTTGTCTGTATCCCCTATTGTTGTTAGAGTGCATTAATGTGAAGACAATTGTCCCTCCACAAGGGAATCTTTACCCGCCCTATATATATCTTCCCAAACTCATCCACAAAGAACACCATAAAAATAACATAAGGGTAAAATAAATAAATAGAAATACCAAAATTAAAGCATTTTCATATATTTCTAATAAATTTATCTGATTTATAATTTTAAAAAAAAGTTGCATCATGGAAAATATGATCATTGATAGGGGAGAAATGGTAGAGATTATTGGTGCAGAGAGTCATGTTGACTTTAGGGCTGACGTAGTGGTGGGGGATAACAGTTGGGTCGTTGGCGGCGCAGAGCGTCACGTTGACTTTAAGTCTGACGTAGCGGGTGACGTCTTGGGCGGTGGCAAAAAGAAGAAGCCCGAGAAGCAGGCGGTGAAGGAGTACCCGCCGCCGCTGGAAACGCGGCGGGTGATGAAGCGGAGATACACCAAGGACGGGAGGCTCGTCGTCACCGCGGAGCCCTCCGAGTACTATGTCGTCGACGGCTCTGACAACCGGCTCCGCCTGCACCTCCTCAGCATGAAGGGGGGATTCTCCTTTGCCGGAGAGGGCAGTGGCTCCGGGACCGCGCCGGAATCCGCTCCTGAGGATGAGAATGGCGGCGGTGGGGAAGACAACGGCGCGGAAGTGCCGAGCATGCCCCCGCGGGATTCATGTTTCTAAGCAATGTGTGTTAAGGGACCGGGGTATTTCGGGAATAAATAAAAGGGCGGTGGGTGGGGGGCATCGTCTTCGTGGTGGTCTTGGATAATTGAGTTCTGTTTTTCATTTTTATCGTTTTGTTGTCTTCGATCATTTCCGATGAAAAAACGACCGTTGAAATGTCGTGAAATTCGATGTAATATGAATAAAGGTTCCTTTTGTTTTGCTCGTTTGGTCGTGTGATTGCATGCATGCTTTTCAATTGTAACAACAAATAAAATTATAATTTCAATCGTAACTATTAAAACGAAACAAACATTAAGAGATTGAATAATTCTTCCTTACACATCCATAACATATTTTTTCAAAGAATAAAATTTGACGCGATGAAATAAAATGTACTCCCTCCGTTCTACAAAACTCTTCCTCTTTCGTTTTTTTTGCTTTCCACAAAACACTTTCACTTTCTATTAAAAACCCACTTTTATCCCTACTTTTTCATACCCTACCTATCACATCATACTTTTTCACTAATAACCAAACTATCACATCTTACTTTTTCTCATCACATCAGGGACAAAATTAGAAAGTCAATCAAAATTACACTTTCCTTATTTTTCCCCAAAGTCAAAACCGGAAGGGTTTTGTGGAACGGAGAGAGTATATTCTAATTTGAGATCAACACAACCTTGGGAAAAAAATGATGCGAATAATTCGTATTTTTTCTTAGTTAGATAACACACATTTGAAGTGTGTACTTACAAAATTAAACTATGGTACATATTAGAAAGATTTGTTATTTTTTGAGGGATGGTTTTAGATTTTTTAAATTTAGGCAACCGTAATCCTTTTTTACGCAAAATTATTTATATTAACATCGAACTTCTCCATATAGAGTTGTTATTTGAAGCATGCTAGAAATACACCAAAATGAAGTATCCATTTGTACACTAGTAAACACAGGCAAACACAGATATTTAATATCTATGATCCACAGACACCAAGTATTTGTGTTTGCCTGGTGTACAAATGGATACCTCATTTTGGTATACCTTTAGATTTATTCTTGTTATTTTTGAGGGACGGTTTAGGATGTTTTATTTGTTTCACACTAGCTCTTTAATTGTTACAACTAGCTAGCTATTCAATTCCATTCATAATATAAGTGTTAGGGTGTTTTGATCCAATGCATATATTCTCCTTCAAGTTCGATTCCCCCTATTCAATTCTTGTGAATCTTCTTCATCATCTCCATGATGCTGCTAGTTTGTAGCTGCCAAAGTACATCTATCTATCTAGTCCACTCTGCAATATACTTGAACAGATCTGAAGCAAATTTGCAAATCCAGACTAAATGGTTTGTTTACATCGATCCTCAGTGTGTAAATCCTCATTGTTTTTACCAAACAAAACACATCGATCCTCAGTGTGTGTGTGTGTGTGTGTGTGTGTGTGTGTGTGTGTGTGTGTGTGTGTGTGTATAGAGCCTTAAACCTAGAGCTGGCAAATCGGTCGGTTAGATCGGGTTCGAGTTCGGTTACTTCAAGTTCGGGTTATTTTGGGTTCGGGTCAATTCAGGTTCGGGTTGAGAACTGTATGTTCATGACCCAGTGTCATCGGGTTCGGGTCGACCCAGCGGGTTATGACTTTGCTTTTTTAAATTCACATTAACACTTACATTTTCTATTAAATAAACCTAAAATATAAAAAAATGTATTAAATCTATAAAATTATTTTATTTTAAACTCTGAAGTGATTTTTAGACATATAAATCAATATAAGGAATTTAAAAATGCTTAAATTTTGGAAAAAAGTAAGATACTTATGCAATATCATTAAAATTTTGTCTGAAAATATAAATTTATACACTAAAAAAGAGTAGTAAAGTGTATAATTTTGAAAATTTCTTACTTTAGCGGGTCGGTCAGGTCAGGTTCAGGTTCAGTCGGGTTTGACCCATTTTTAGCAGGTCATTTCGGGTTCGGTCATCAAAACCTTTGTTCAAAATCCAGTGTTTTCAAGTCGGGTTTCGGATCAAAAACAGGTCGGATCATTTTTTGTCAAGCCTACTTAAACCTCTATGTCGCACCCAAAATGGGCCCAAAAAGCTGGAGAGTAAACATTTTTCTAAAAAATAGGGATAAAAAATCGTCAAAAAATCTTCGATTGGCGGCCCATAGACGATACTGCCATCACCACACATGGTCCCAGAAGGCTCGCAACCCGCTAACCCATCACCAATGTTTTTTTTATATTAATTTTTGTTCTTCAATAGACAATGTTATATACTTCCTCATGTCTTAACAATGTTTTGGGAACCACCCCCATTTTATAAAATATTTTGAAAAAGCTATATTGTACTACCTCCCTCCCATTTTATAACACCTGTTTCGGTTTACGATGTTTGACTGAAATTATTTTCAAACCATTTTATATGACAAATGGTATAGAATTAAAAAATAAAAATTACATATTAAAAAACTACATCAAAAGATCTACAAAACTAGTAGTGACAATAATATTTTATTTTATCAAATTGCTAACGAAAATAGAGAATGAAAGTGAATGAAGTTTGACCCTGTGAATAGTAAACAGACATTATAATTTGGGACGGAGGGAGTACTTATTTGTATACCATGTTAGTATATAATTCCTCATGTCTTGTAAAATTTTTCCATTTTTTTATATGGAGTATTAAAAGTCTCATCAAAATTTCAATTTGACCTAAATGAACCTAACACTGTTGCCCTTACTTTTTTAAATCTAACTAAAACCTTACCATATCTATTTTCTACGCCCTACCCATTTTAATATTTTCCTGAGTCGTACTCGTCTCAATTATCATTGCTTTATTTTGATCAAACTTCTACAACTTGCTTTCTCAAAAATCAAAATAGAAAATGTTTTGTGCGACACAAAAACTATATCTATCTATTTGATTGAAGATTAAAATTAATCGAGTTAACTCTAAGATTTCAAATTAGACAAACTCTTCGGTACAGATAGGAGTATCTAATATTTCCTTATTGCCAAAAACAGGTTCTCACTTTCTTTATGGCACATACATGCAGTAAAAGTTAAATTTTCATTCTTTGTTAGAAAAATATTGAGTGATTTATATTACTTTTCTTAATCTTCCTTCTCATATTTATATTTCTAAATTACGTAAAAAATGAAACTAATAAAAAAAAATTGTCCTAAAAAAATTACAATTTAATTTTGAATGAAATAATACTCCGTAAGTTGTAATTAAATTGAATGAAATAAAAAAAAGTGGGTGAAAGTAATACTTGTCCATCACACAAAACTTCAATTTTCCACTCGTTTCAATTTTTCCTTACTTTATACTTCCTCCGTTTGTAGAAATAGTTTTTGCTTGGTAGATTTCAATATTTAATTTGACTTTCCAATAACATCATAAATTAGCATTGAAAGAGAAAAGGAAGACATATCACTTAAGTCAAATTCTATGGCACGAACCTACATATGAGCAAAATATATATTTTTAATAAACATTTTTTAATATTTAAATAAGTATTCGTTTTTTAAATTCAAAAAAAATGTTATGTGAAAAAGTCCACAAATTTGATATGCACCCAAGCTGTACTAAAAAAGCACTCATCATTTAAATAGTTTATTATATCAATGCAAAATGAATGAAATATATTGCAATAAATTTGGATATATTAGTCATTTTTTATAGAAGTAGAAGTCTTCCGTTGAAAAAAAGAGAGAGTAACTGTTTTCGAAAACGAAGGAATCGTAATTTATACAGTAGGATATGATGTGATGAGTAAATTAATATAAATAAGTATGATATAATAGGTTAATTAATATACTCCGTAGTTAATAAGAATAAAAAAATATTTTAACTAAAATTGAAAATATTTGTTAAGACGAATAAAAACTAAAAACGAAACAGCTTTTTTAGGCAATATATTTTTCAATGTTTCGTGAAACTATGGATGGAGAGAATATTAGTGATAAACTTAAATAAATTACGTGAGCGTTGGAAACTTGCAAGATTTACCATTTTAATTTCTTTGTAACCAGAATTTGACATACATATCCATTGTGAAAAATTCCCACATTTTTAAAAACTATGAGGACTATTAGCTGTCACTTCTTGAAATTCCATTTTAGTCCCTCTTGTTTTTCTTCATTCCCTCGATATCCTATAAAGTCTTTCAAAAATTGTCGCCAAGTTTTGTCTCTATTACCCTCTTTGTGGTTAGAGTGCATTAATGTGAAGACAATTGTCCTTCAAGAGCATCTTTACCTGTTCTATATATATCTTCTCAAACTCACAAAAACACACACACACGCCATAGAAAATAAGTAAATAACATAGGATAGAAAAAAGCCGTTAAATATGTTTTTATTTCTTGTAAAATTGGTGATTTCAATTTTTGGTCCATGTGAAAAAAATTGACTAAAAAAAAAATCTCCCCGGTTCTAATAAAAATCTTTTATGTTTTGATTTTTTAGTCAAACTGTGACACCCTTTGACCACAAATCGTGAGAAAAACATATTTAATTATTAAATAAATTCAATCTAATTGTGTTCATCTTAGGATATATCAAATTTTTAAATCATTTATTTCTTTAGATTATTTTTAGTTTATGATCAAAGAGCGTCATTGTTTGACCAAAAAAGTTAAAACAAAAAATGTTTTAGGAGCAGAGGGAGTATATCAAAGTTAATGCATTTTCATATTTATAATAAATTTACCTGGTTTATGAAATTATTTTTTCATCATGGAAGGTATCATCATGGATTATTAGAGGTGAGCAAGTACCGAATCGACACTGAAAATTTCAGAAAAAAACCAAACTGAAAAACACCGAACGGAAAGAATACCGCCAAAATATCGAACTGTACCGAACCAAATGTTCAGTCCGGCATTAGAGAACGGTACGAGGTAACTTCCAATACCGAAAATCCCGAATCGAATATAAATACTACTCCCTCCGTCCCATGAAACATGGGAGTTTTGCTTTTTAGTAGGGATTTAAGGGGAGTATATTTTGGTATTGAATTTCCAAAAATTTACTTTGATGTGATGGGTAAAAGTATGATTTGATGGATAGATTATTAGTAAAAAGGTATGAAAAAGTAAGGAGTAAAAGTGACTTTTTAACAGAAATGAGAAGTGTTTTGTGGGACGGATAAAAAAAGAAAGGAGAAAGGTTTAATGGGACGGAGGGAGTAATATATTATAAC